GTGGGTCTCATTTGCATCACCCTAATGGCTAATGCTGATAAACATTTTTTCATGTGGTTTTGACATCTGCATCTCTGCTCTAGTGAAGTCTGTATTAGAGGTTTTGTATACTTCCAGTTGGACTCTTTATTTTATTATTGAGTTTTGAGTATTTAGTATGTGATGGTTACTAGTCCTTTACCATATTGTTATAAATATATTTTCTTAGTCTGTAACTTGTCTTTTTATTTTCTTAATGGCCTTTGGGAAAACAGAAACTTTATTTTCCAGTGTTAGGGACTGAATACCAGGGTGCTCTGCTACTGAGATATACCTCTTGGCCTTTTTACTTTTCATTTTGAGACAGTCTTGCTAAATTGCCAGACTGGCCCTGAACTGCAATTCTGATCCTCTTGCCTCAGCCTCCGAAATAGCTAGGGTTAAAGGTGTGTGTCTCTGTGCCTGGCTCAATTTTTTTTTGTTGTTGTTTTGGTTTTTCTGTACTGGGGATTGAACTCAGGACCTTGCATTTTCAAGGCAGGTGCCATCACCACTGAGCTAAATCCCTGGCCCTAGAAATTTTAATGTAATCCAATTTGTCAAGTTTTTCTTCTACAGTTCTTAAAAAAAAATCTATGTCTAATCCAAGGTCACAGACATTTACTCCTGTGTGTGATTTTTGTTTGTTTGTTTGAGACAGGGTCTCCCTATGTAGTTGAGACTGAACTGGAACTCGCTATGTAGCCCAGGTTGGTCTTGAACTCACAGTGATCCTCCTGCCTCAGCCTACTGAGTGCTGAGATTACAGGGGTGTGCCACCACGCTGGCTTGTGTGTGATTTTTAGAAGATTTATTGCATTAGATTTTTCATTTTCAACCTAAATTATGTTTTTAATTTTTATATATGGTATGAGTTTCAGTTTTGTGCTTTTAGGTAGCTAGTTGCAGCAGCACTATTTGTTGAATTTTCTTCATTCAGTTTCCTTAGCCCTTGGGTGAAAATCAGTTAACAAATGCAGATTGTGTGTTCTGGATAATCTTTCTGGATTATGTATTCTATTCCATGGCTTTTTTTTTTTTACAATATCTCACTATTTTGATTACTGTAGTTTTATAATGTCTTGAAATTTTCATCTTGGTACTGGCCAGGATTTGCAGTGTGATAAGGATAGGAATGGTGAGCATGGGTATTTTGCCCTATGCCAGTCTTAGGGAGAAAGCATTCACGTGTTTATCTATGATATTTTGAGTTTTCACAAATGATCTTTTATCAAGGTAAGGATCTTTTTATTTTCTGAGAATTTTTCATCATAGGTGAATTTTGAATTTTGTTAAGTGTCTTTTTCACAGTTCATATGATCATGTGGTTTGGTCTGTTGATATAGCACATTGTATTAATCAATTGACTTAAGTATATTGAACCAACAGAGCTTCCCTAAAATAAACTGTTATCCTTTTTACTTACTGTTGGATTTGATTTGCTAGTGTTTCATTAGGAACTTTTCTTGTAATATTTTTACCTAGTTTTGGTATCGGCATGATTCTGGCCTCATAGATTGAGTTCAAGAATGTTCTTTAACCTTGTTTTCTGGAAGAGTTTGTGTAAGAGTGGTGTTTATTCTTCCATAAATTCTTAGTAGAAATTGTCATTAAAGTAGCCTGGACTTTCAGTTTTCCTGTGTGAAGATTTTTGAATTATAAATTCAATTTCTCTAATAGATATAGGAATATTTGGGTTAGTGCTAGAATTTGTCTTTCAATTAATTTATACATTTCATTCATCAAGTTTATTTGGTATAACTTTTTCATAATACTATCATTTTAATATCTGGGATTTGTATTGTGGCCCCTTTTTATATCCTATTATAATAATTTGTGCTTGCTCCTTTTTTCCCCTTGTTTCATCTTTCTAGGAGTTCATTAGTTTTATTAGTTGTATTGCTGTTGTCAAAGAATTGATTTTGGTTTTATTATTATTTTTCAGCTATTTTTAAATTTTATTATTGATCTATTTCATTTCATTACTGGTGGTTTTCTTCTCATCCTTCCTTCTACTTGCTTTTGATATATAACTTGTTCTTTTTTTATCCAGGCAGATTAGATTACTGATTTGCCATTTTTTTTCTTTCTTTGGCTGGGGTCGGGGGTTTTGTGCATACTGGGGATTAAACTCAGGACCTCAGGTTTGCCAGGCAGGTGCCGTGTGCTAAGCTAAATCCCTGGTACCACTTTATTTCTGAATATAACAAAAACATATAATGATGTAAATCTCTCTAAATAATGGTTTCATTGTACCCATCAAATTGTTATATATCATGTCTTAATTTATTTAAAAAATTTTCTAGATTTTCTGGGGAGCCTTACTCTTTGATCCTTGTTAATATTGAGTACTGTGTTGTTAAATTTCCAAATACATGGGAATTGACCATATACTTTTCTGTAACTGATACTTAAGTTTTGTTCTTGTCACAGAATATTCATCAAATAATTTCAGTTGTTTTAAGTTGTTTCTGTATTGTTTTAAGTCCCAGAATATATTCTGTGTGTTCTTGAAAAGAGTATTTATTCTGTTATTGTCAGAATAAAGAGGTCTTTTGATAATAATTTGGTCAGTTTAGTTGAAAGAATTGTTCAGCTTTTCTGTATCCTGCTTTTTTTGGTCTGCTGGTTCTGACAGTTACTAAGAAAGGAGTTTTAGAGTTCCAACTCATAAGCATGAATCTCTTCTTTCAGATCTCAGGTTTATGTCTTTGAAGCTCTGATGTTTAGTATAGCTACATTTGGGATTGTTATGTCTTCTTCTTTTTCTTTTTTTTTTGGTACTGGGGATTGAACTCCGGACCTTGTGCTTGCAAGACAGGCAGTGGTACCACTGAGCTAAATCCCCAGCCCCTGTTATATCTTCTTGATGAGTTAACTTCTTAGTCATTATGTAATGTCCCTCTTTATGCCTGGTAATATTCCTTGTTATGATATTAGTGTTATTTGGCATATATTTTTATTCATTTTCACTTTTAACCTGCATGTATATACTTTTTATTTGGTTTTTTTGAGACAGGGTCTCACTATGTAGTTGACTGATCTGGATATAGCTACATTTGGGATTGTTATGTCTTCTTCTTTTTCTTTTTTTTTTGGTACTGGGGATTGAACTCCGGACCTTGTGCTTGCAAGACAGGCAGTGGTACCACTGAGCTAAATCCCCAGCCCCTGTTATATCTTCTTGATGAGTTAACTTCTTAGTCATTATGTAATGTCCCTCTTTATGCCTGGTAATATTCCTTGTTATGATATTAGTGTTATTTGGCATATATTTTTATTCATTTTCACTTTTAACCTGCATGTATATACTTTTTATTTGGTTTTTTTGAGACAGGGTCTCACTATGTAGTTGAGACTGACCTGGAGCTCACTGTGTAGCTCAGGCTGGTCTTGAACTCACAGCGATCCTCCTGCCTCAGCCTCCCGAGTGCTGGGATTACAGGCGTGCACCACCATGCCCAGCCTGCATGTGTATACTTAATGTCAGTTTCTTGATGGGGTATACAGAATAGATAAGTTTTAATTTCATGCCCTTTCTGCCAATCTCTTGACTTTTTATCGATTTATTTCAAACACTTATTTTTAATGTAATTTTTGGTATGATTTTTTAAATTACCATTTTTCTAGATGTTCTCTATTTTATCTGTTCTTTGTTGTTTTCCATTTCTTTCTGCCTAGTTTTTTTTTTTAAGTATACCTGATTGCTCAGTATTGTTTTGTTCTAGTTTATCTTTACTATGGACTGATTATGTGTATATAAATTTTTAAAAATTTTAGTGGTTTCATAGGGTTTATAATATATTCATCTTTATCAGATTCTGTGTTCAAATAATACTGTGCTCCTTCATATATAGTGTAAGAAACTTCCAATGATATTCTTCCAATTTTTCTCCCTCATTATTTGGGTAATTGTTGCACATTTTCCCTTTACACATATCATATACCCCGTGTAAAGGAACATTTCTGGTGGTAGAAATACTTACCTTGATTATGATGATGCGTACATGGGTGTATATTTTTTTCAAAACTCAAACGTGTAAAATGAGTTAATTTTACTTTAAGTAAATGTCCAGTATAATACATGTGCTGAGGACCAACAAATCTATAATCAGCTTAGATAGTAATTGAGTCTAAGTTCCTAGTGAACATAGCTATGTGACTATCCTGTAAGCATTCACAACACCCACATGTCCAAAAATGAACTCACCGTGTTGCTCATCTAGGGACCTGGGAGAAAGCAGTTAGTCCATTTCTGTAGATTCTACGTCTTAATTACCTTTGAACTTGATTTTTCATTTGTTCCTAATGCCCTGTTTTCCGGTCCTTTCACATTTCCATGTAGTCTTAATCAATGTTAAGAGTCCTTCCAATTTATCTTCCCCTCTGCCAAATAGTGATCTTTTTAATATCAGAGCTGGTCATTTTATTTCCCTATTTAAAATCCCTTTATGGTCCCACATTACTTTTGGCAAAGTGCACACATATTAGCATAATGCAGTTGTCTCAAAATCTGTCCTTCCTGGGGCCGGGGATTTAGCCAAGTGGTTCGGTGGCCTGCCTTGCAAGCATAAGGACCTGAGTTCAATCCCTGGTACCAAACAAAACAAAACACAAAAAACTGTGCTTCCTTCTAATGCCCCTCTTTCAGCCCTCAGCTTGGAGTCATTCAGTCACATCCGGCACATTACTGCAGGGAAATCTCAGAACACACCATGTCCTTCTCTCCTGCCTCTTGCCTCTGCCTATCCTGTCCTCCTCACCCCCATGGTCCATCTTTTGCCTTCTGGTCTGGCTAATTTCATCTTGCCCATCAGGACTCCATTCAGGCTGCCTCTTGTCTGGTAGCATTCCCTAAACTCTTACCAGCCTTGGGCTTCTTTGGGCCTTTCTGACTTTGCCCTACGTTCTCGTTGGTGTTCTGTGCTTTCCTATCATGGTAGTTATTTTCAAGTAATCTTCCACTGTGTTTTTATAGGCAAAGATGCTGGAAGCAGATCTGGTTTCAAAGATGCTACGAGCAGTTCTACAGTCTCATAAAAATGGGATAGCATTACCTCGCCTCCAAGGAGAGTACCGATCCTTGACTGGAGACTGGATCCCCTTTAAACAACTTGGTTACTGTACTCTGGAAGACTATCTGAGAAGTGTGCCAGCAGTTGTCAGAATAGATACTAGTAGATCTGGAGAGGTAAGAAGGCAATTGTGCATGTCAGAAAAATCAAATCATTTTGTAATCTCCAGGCTGACCCTTGCAATCTCATACCTTTGAGAGAAGTCAAAATGATAAGTATCTACTAAGTGGTCTGAAGCACAGTCTAGGTTCCACTGTCTTATTTTATCCCTCAAACTTTTTCATTGTGAAAATAAGATTTTAACCACTCTAAATAAAAAAATTTAAGTTGAAGTTTGCCTAAATTCAACATCAAAACAAAATAGCTGTACTGGGGGCTTTCAGTGCATACACATCACTCCTGCCCTTTACAAACCTGCTACAAGTGTATTTGCCAAGATCAGTTCACTAATGACTTCTTATCAGCAGATCTATTAGGCAGTTTTAAATTGTCATCATTTGACTGCCTTTATGGTAATTCCTGCCACCTGGACCTAGCTCATTCCCACTTTACTATTACAGGGTCTCCCTACAGTTCTCGCTGTTTCAGTCCCTTCTCTAGCCTTTCCTCTCCCTCACAGAAATATGATCATGTTAATCTACTGCTTCAAATCCTTTAGCTTCCCCAGGAGAAAATACTTTATGTATAATATGCGCCATTTGGTGGCAGCAGGTAAATATTTGATTGCACTTTCACTGTCTCAGTGGTTTCACCTCTTGGTGCCTACCCATTGCGCAGTATGATAGATGTAGACAAACTACCCAGAAGACAAACAGAAAGTCCTGTCTTCCCTCCTACAAAATACTGTAGTTTCTTGGGTATATGTAAATATATGGAACAGGGCAGGGATGTTCCTCACCAAAATTTATCATATTATTTCTTCTGGGAGTTGGTGGGGAGGAAAATGCAGTTAGGATTGGGAGACCCATAAAAAGGGAATTTCACTTCATCCAATAATTTTTACAAAAGAAAATAGACATCAATTAAATATTATATTAATAGTAAAATGTTCTTTAATATTCCTTATCCTCCTAAACCGATTTAAGCCCACTTTTGTAGTTGTATCTTGCAGTACATTCATATACTTAGCACAATGTTTTCTATGTAGCTTTTTTCTGGGGGTGGGTACTGGGGATCGAACTCAGGTCCTTGCGCTTGCAAGGCAGGCAGCGGAACCACTGAGCTAACTCTCCAGCCCTTTCCTGTGTTTCTTGAGGATGAAGGACTTTTTTTCCTCCATCATAGTTCATACTTAATAAATAATAAATATTTATTTTCTATTTATGCACGAATAACCAAATGTCCAAATTAATTAATATTTTATATGGTTGCTGTTACTTAATTCTTTGTTCCCTTGTTTTGGACATTTTAAATGTTTCTAGGTTTTGACTATTAAATTATCCTCCCACTAAACATTTTTTTCTTCTGAATTATATTCTTGTAGTATATTCTCAGGGATAGAAATACTGAGCCAAAGACTCTAGGAACATGTTTTGACTGCAGTATAAATCCTCATCATTTTTCTGTTGTTGATTTGAACTTAAAGTCAACAACTTGAAAAGCAGATAGGTCTTTAGAGATCTAGTCCAGAAAAATCTTGATGTTTCAAATCTTTTCCCTAATATTCTATATATCATACCAAATTTTAAATAAAAGATAAAAGGCTGAGCTGCCGTGTTTTAAGCAGGTATGGAGGGTCTAGGGGTCCTATCTGTCCTGCTTTGCCTTCCAGTGGTGGCCCCTGGAATTCCATGGCTTCAGTGACCAAGATTCAAAACAACAGATCTAAACCACCCCTGCCTTACAACTGAGAATACTTCACTGAGATTTGCCCAAAGTCACCCAGCTGTTCTGTTACAGGGGCAAGCCTAGGTTTTAGTGGTCTGGGAAACAATACAGTATAATAGTTATGAAAGTCTTGCTGTGTGATTTGGAAAGTTATTTAACTGTACTGAGCTTGTGCTTCTCCGTGTATCAAATGGGGATAAGGTATAACTTGTAGGTCATATGAGATAATATATTCAGATGATGAATTCCTTTTGGTTTGTCCATTAATCCTATAGTACCTGGTACATTGTAGATGTTGAATAAATACTTGTTTAAGGAATAAATGAAAATTTCAATTTGGAGAAAGATGATTTATTGTACTAGGTTATTCTTGATTCCTTTGTAGAAAATATGTATTTTTATTCTAACATTATCAAGGAGAAGGATTTATGAATATTTGCTTACAATTCAGTTTTGGATGCAGAGGCTCACCCACTTTTACAAATTGACCTCTAGGAAACACTCAAGAAGTATTTCTCCTTTTGCTCTGCCCCTCATGAATAGATTACCTGCCACGCTGTGGCCTGCACAGAAACTGCAAGAATTGCTCAGCTTGTGGCTTGTCAGAGGAGTTCTAAAAGGAAAATTGGGCGGCAAGTTAATTGTCAGATGAGAGTGAAGAAAACCATGCCATTTTTTCTAGAAGGTAGGGTTTCATTTTTAATATGATAAAAATTTTAAACCTGTTCATGAATATATTGTTACAAAGAATTATGGAAATGCTTTTTGTAGTCACAGATATGTGGATTTGTTAACATCCCTCTGTCGGGAAAAATCCTGAATCTAGGTTTTTTTCATTTGAAATGATTAAATGAACATGATAAGCATGATTAACAAAGTGAAATGATTGCACAGTGTGAAATAACACAGTACATTTTCACTGTTTGTGATAGCAAGGTGTGGTTTTTTGTTTTTTTAGGTATTTGAAGGGAAGTAACCTACAGACTGTTGGATGAACCAAGAACCTATGATTTAATGTCGTCTTAAAAAATATATGTCTTTTGAGATAATACCAGTTTCAGAAAAGTATGAATTATATAATATGAAAAAAGTTACAGGCAACTCAGCCTACCATACTGAAAACTTATCTCAAGGAGCTTACAGTCCTGAAACTGTAAATTCTCAAGAAATAATTCAATGATAATATTAAACAGTAGATGATTAAGTACTAGAATGAGCATTTTAGACAAGGCAGTGATCATTGTAAGTGAGATTGGAAATGGAGGCCTTTATGGTGAAAGGAATACTTGAGCCCAGATCTCAAGTGGTAGGTAGAATTTGGATTGGTGAAGAAGATGTGGAAGGACTCCTGTGTTGGTGAGAATGTAAAGTGGCTGCCACAGAAGTGTTAAATTCATGTGTACCAGGCAAATAACTGGAATCTAGCAGGTGAAGAATCTCTTCAGCTAAATGCTCCCAGAACTCTTCTTCCCTCTCACCAGCACCCCCCAGGAGCCCCTTCTTATGTTACTACAGACTGTTTTGAGAATAGAGACCCTCAGAAACCATCTGGCTAGGAGAGTGGCATAATAAAACTAGGGTTGGGGGAAGTCAACTGATTCCATTATGTATGCCTGACTTCACAGGAAAACCAAAAGCAACCCTCAGACAACCAGAACTTGCTTCAGCTTTTTCTATCAGCAAAAGACCTAATCCAACCCTGTTAAGAGACAAAGGAAATTCTCTTGGGATTAAGTTTGATGCCGAAACACCACCTTACCCAGTACACAGGACTATTGGAAATGAAGTATTCAGAGACATTCCAATGCAGAGGCATGTGGCCATGTCTACCAACAACAGGTATTTCGGACTTTCTCTGACTAAAAAGTGAAGTTTGGTGAACCTGGGATAATAAATATTTAAAAATGCGTATTCAGATTAAGATAGACTTCTTGTTTTGGCTAATACAAATGCTTATGTGGTACAAAAATACACTTCTCCTGGCTGCCTGTTATTCTCTAAATGTATTTCCATTCTGTAGCTCTATTGGTAATCTCTCTTTGTAAAATCATTTTAAAAGTTCTCACAAGTTGTTCTAAGATGCTATTTTACTATTTTTTTGGAAAACATTTTCTTACAATTAATTTTAAGAGTCCTCAGTGAAATCTGATTGAGTTGCACACTCGATTTTGCCCCAGTAATTGTGTCCATAATTATTCAGTAATGTTAGATATCGTTGCATAAAAGTACTGGACCAGCAGTCATAACCTAAAAGCCTTAGTTTAGGTTCTGCCATTCACTAGCTAGGGAAAATAAATTGTTTTATCTTTTGGGTCTGTTGTTTCCTCTTTGCTCGATGAAAATGTGAAACTAAATGAGCCCTTCTGGCTCCAAATTATATAGTTTTATCTAGTATCCCAGAGACCAGCTAACTACAATGCTTGGGCCAATTGAGGCCTGCTGCCTGATTTTGTAAATACAGATTTATAGAAACACAACTATATCCTGTTTCCATATTGCCTATAGCTGCTTTTGCATGGCAGTGGTGTAGATTCCAGTTTTAAAATTTGTGTCTTTTCACAACAGACTTGTTCTGTCACACTTTCTTTAAGTCATTTTTCAAAAATTCTATTTCATTTTCCCCAGGAATATCCCTCCAGATACTAGACTATTTAGGAAGAATTAATTTTAAAAAATATTTGGTAGAAATTAGTGTATTTTTAGTATCTCCTGTTACATGTTAATGCAGAAATATGATGTTATTTATAATTGTACATTCTAAGTTTTTACTGATAGGCTACAATCTAATCTTTTCTTTCAAAGTTAAAATATAAGGAAATATGCTTGATTTCAAATAATTGATCTAATTTTTAGTCTTTCATACTATTAAAAAATTGTGCTGGACATCAACACCATCATTGATTGAGTTAGACATTATTCTAGCATTCACTCTCCCTTGCAAGCACTAACCACTGGGAGCACAAATAATTAAGAGGTATCTGGTGAAGGGAAAAGACAAGAACGTAAATACTCTGTGTGTGTACGTGTGTGTGGGAGTGTTATTTGTCCTCCTATTTGGAAAAATCTTCCTGTGTATATCCAATATCATTCCTATAAAAACTTTTAGTAAAGATATGAAGTAAGAATTTTTTTTTTCAGTTATTTGAGCAGTCTTTCCTGTCTGCTTTGAGATACTACTTTTATTATGTGCTAAGATATCATGTAAATTTAATGTTTCTCAGCTCTCTACTATTTTACTTATCTGTCTGATTACTGTATTTTAAATGATGTAACTTTGTAATGCATTTCAAAGTCTGGTAGTGCAATTCCTTCAGTTTTTGGTTGTATTCCAAAACAGTCTTTATTGTCAATTGTTTGTCCTTTTCATACTCTGTTTTGCTAATTCCTTAAAGGTGATTAGTGGGAAGTGGGATGTCCAGGTTCCAAAAGAGACTGTCAAACATCTTGTTAAAGTTTAGCTGGTAGCATACTTATTTTCTGGGTAAATATGAAAGGTGAGATCATGTTAGATGTCATTTTCATTTTTTCTGATTTTGAAATATTTTTATGACTTGACTTTAAATGAAAAATACATTGTTTAAAGCTTGGTATTCTTTTACATCTTAGGTTTAGCTCCAAGGCACCCCACCCACCACCTTTTCAGATGCATCTCTTAAGAACCTGTACTAAGGAAGTGAGTGGTATGTTTTCCAAACATCTTCATGATACATAACTGGCTTCTGGAGCCTCAGGGTCCCAAAAAAGTATAGTATATACTTCTGTATACACTACAAAGTTTATAGCCTTGACACTTGCTCTCACTTTCTACTTGGAGTGTACCTCTCTTCCTTTCTTTTCTAATTTCTTTAAGTCAAGTTGAGTAGTCTTAAGAGAAAATAGTGCCTCTAAGGATATCATCGTTGTTCTGAGTTGAGGCCTTTCTCACTCTAGATGTACTCTGTCTCACACCTATGTCCCTTGTGTACCTCCTTGTCCTCTTCCTCATTAGGGGATAAGCCCAAGACTTTGTGTCTGAGGCCTACTTAAAGAAAACTCACGCTCTAGATTCAGAGTACATAGGTAGGTTTGAACTCATTAAAGAATATCAGATACGCCATTGCTTAAAAGCTGGCATCCTAAAACTGTGTGCAGTGACCATTAAGCATCTAACTATGAATATAAATAGTTCTTTAGGTTTTAAAGTCCAAAAATGCTACTAAGAAAACAATAAAACAGAATAAAATCAAAGAATCCAAAGGTTAGAAACTCACCCACTCAGTATTTCATTTTCTCCAACCAAAGTGTAAATGAGGACTCAGCCATAGGTACATAGTATTTTCAGAATAAGTGCTTACATTCATGAAATATGAATGTAATTTTACATGATTTACTGCCTTTTTTTACATAATAACACATCTCCTTTATTTCTTAAGGAAATTAATTGAATAATATGATTTTTGTTTATATGGCTTATTTTTACATATGCATTTTCTGAGATCTGACTACTTACTAAAGTCATATACCCTTTTTGAAGCTTAAATTAGTATAAGATTTTCCCTCTGCAAACAATAGGGCTCATTTCCAGAGGATTGCTGTTCACCAGAAGAGCTGAAATGTACATATGTACACAACCTCTCCTACATGCTAACAGCCTGAATTGACTTTCTTAGTTTGCTAGTCATGGGGCTCAGGAGCTCAGGTGCCTCTAGCCCTACAGAGCAGGTACATTTGCAAACTCAACCATGAGTCAACTGCTGAGACTATACTGTCATTAAGAGGTCTGGCCACTTTTGAGAAGCTCATAATTTCCTCCTTCTCCATCCTTTTCTGAATTCTTCTGTTTTATGTGCCTAAGTCTGGCAAGGCTAGGTTGTCTTGGCCTCTGATGGGAAGAACAGATTTGGTATCCAAGTATCCTCATGGAACAGTTCCCTTTGGCTTCCTGGCATCCGCAGAGGCCACTGCCCCCAAACAGGACTCTATGTCTCTGATGGCCAATTAAAAATAGAATTACTGAATCCTAACAGAAATACCATCTGATTAAAATATGAATGTATTTTGCACATTGATGATAATTTTAATGTACTCTGACCTTTATCCCAGAGGAGTTTTGAAGAGGGTTTAGAGTGAATTTCTTTCTTTTTTTTTTTTGGTACTAGAGATCGAACTCAGGACCTTGCATTTGCAAGGCAGGTGGCAGAACCACTGAGCTAAATCCCTGGCCCAATGAATTTTGTAGTTTTTAAACTATCAGAACTTTCAGCTACAGTGAACATTGCGATTCCTTTGTCTTAGGATATAAATTCAAGTATCCTGAGTTTTAATTTTTTTTAGAAAGTGAATAAAAAAGCTAGCCAAAATATACTTATGAAAAATAAATATTGGGGAAATTTAAAAATTGGTATTACTTATCTGTAGGTTCCAAACCAATTGTTCATGTTTATAAATTGAAGCTAGGATAACTTTTATAGCTTCTGTGTATTGCTAAATTATTTTCATTAATAAAGGGGGGAAATGATCATAACCTTAAAACCTGGACAGCTTTTTATCTTCTGCTAAATGTTTTTCAGCCATACTGTTAAGGCATTATTTTTATGCTTTATCGGACACAGCTTTAAATTCAGCATTGTGTATACATACATGTATGTTATCTAAAGTGTTACCTTCCTTAATTGCAAGTAAAAATGATTAAGTAATACATTTCATTATTCTTTACCTAGAAAGATAGTTTTGATGTAAGCTATAAAGCAGCCTGGCAAAATAAGGGGGCTAACTTCCCTCTTGGATGTCTCTTGACATGGCTGGTATTTCTGAATTAATGTAACGAGGTTGTCATGGTGCTGTTTTCCTTAATCCTCCTCCTTAGGAAGACCCTTGGCCCCCACAAGCCCACAGAATAGCAAAGCCTGAGACAAAAATGCTACATAATGGGGATAATCTGCCATGTTAAGTGTTTTGGTTAATTCTATCATTTTTTAATTTAAAGATAATTTAAATAAGACTGTTGAAAAAACAAATGTCATGCCTCCTGCCTCTCACACTTACAAAATGGATGAGGTTCAAAATCGCATAAAGGAAATGCTAAACAAGCATAACAACGGCATTTGGATATCTAAGCTTCCACATTTTTACAAAGAGTTATATAAAGAAGAACTTAATCAAGGAATTTTACAACAATTTGAACACTGGCCTCATATTTGTACGGTACGTTTTTTTCCTTGTTCTTTCCTTCTGATGTCTCCTCCCTGCCCAGCTTTCAGATCTTGAATTACTGGTCGTGAAACCTTTTCTCCAGGGAACACAAAGCACTTTACATATGCTGCCTCATTAATCTTTATCTGTAAGATTAACAGGTGTGTTCTTACTCAAGAAGTATGTCGAGGTTGAGGGCTCTGTGCATTTTAATTGTTGCTGTTATACATTTTGTTTAAAATTATTTTAAAAGTGTTTTTAATGTTTATTATGTATATACATCTTTTTGTATTGATTGAACTGCTACCAATAAACACTTCGTGATTTTTATTAGCTTTGACTTTTATACACTTAATTCTTGAGGATTTTTAAGGATTTTCAGCTAAACAAATTTTAGTTATTTTGGCTAGTTATTTACATAGTACTTTGTTTCTTTTGAAATTAATATAGTATTCATACTTAAAATTTTTATAACCTGTCTTCAGAGTGAAAATTTCTAATTGAAAATGATTTATCAACTTCCATGCCTGTTCCTACTTGGGAGTTTATGATTATAATAAGATGATGGATCAGAATAGTTGGTTAGAAATTTTAGTTCAGTCAAATATGGAGACAACTATATTCTTAAACCCAAGTGATTTTTAGATATTTCTTAATGTTTCTATTTATATAAAATTTTTCAAAGTATAACTGTCCTAAAAGGTAGCATTATGAGCTCTGTGGTGCTTCTGAGTTTGTAGAATTAATGTTATAAGGAGTATGTATGTTCTGAGAGAGGACTTTATTTTTTTAACATGTATTGTGGGCAGATTATAAGTTACTCCCTCTTCATACACACCTGGCCTAAATAAAGTATGTATTTTTGCAACCTCTTTTTCTTCTAGACTATTGTTACCCCATTTAAGCCCCATGCCCATTTCTTTGCAAAAGTCATCCATCCATCCATCCATCCATCCTATCCATAAAACCATTAATTGTGCACCTGAATGTGATATTCACTGTCTTAGGTACTAAGAACACAGGTGATTAAGACACTTGGAACATAGTAAGAAACAGACTTGAAAAAAATTATTTGGGCAATGAACAAAAATATTAAAATACAAAGTAAAGAAGGAATGTCAAATTGTGGAATATGGCTCTCTTCTCCTATTTACAAATTTTTGTTATTTAGTGTTCATAAAAATGTTACCTATGATTTATGTGAAATGTAGAACTTACTTTTTTTTTTTTTTTGGTATCAGGGATTGAACTTGGGAATTTAAGCTTGCAAAGCAGGCAGAGGAGCGACTGAGCTAAATCCCCGGCCCTAGAACTTACTCTAATAATGAGAATTCCCAAGATTGCTTTTAAATACATTTCATTTTTACTCCATTTGGGAAAGCATTTTCTCACTGTACACAGGTTCATCACTATTGCCTTATCCTTTCATTTTTTTTTTTTTTTTGGTATCAGGGATTGAACTTGGGAATTTAAGCTTGCAAAGCAGGCAGAGGAGCGACTGAGCTAAATCCCCGGCCCTAGAACTTACTCTAATAATGAGAATTCCCAAGATTGCTTTTAAATACATTTCATTTTTACTCCATTTGGGAAAGCATTTTCTCACTGTACACAGGTTCATCACTATTGCCTTATCCTTTCAGATAACTTTATTCTTGAGGTTTCATCAGACTGCTCAAAAGTTTGAAAGTTCAAGCCAGGGATTTAGCTCATGGGCGGTGTGCCTGCCTTGTAAGTGCAAGGACCTGAGTTCGATCCCCAGAACCAAAAAAAAAAGTTTGAAAGTTCAAGTCCTTTAGCCCTTCTTGGAATGAATATAGTTTATTTTTTAAATCCATAGACATTCATGTACTTTATATTAAATTTTCAGTGTACTTAGAGCCTTTTTATTGTCAAGATGGATATATTATTTGCTGCTAAACTTTCATAAAGAAGTCTTAAGAGTAAAAATTTAAAAAATAAACTTAGTATGTTTTTAATTTATTATGTTTCTGTTTTCTGTATTCTATGATAATTACTAGTATTTGTATAGCTCAGTTTACGACTTTTGGGGAAATTTTCATCCTTGCTACTCTACAGATGTCTACAAAGTTCCAGAATACCTCTTGCAGAGGTGGCAAGTGAGAGAATATCAAAGTGAGAGAGTGTTACCTAAAATGAATGATTACCTTCTTTCAGGTGCTGAAACAGCTGATACTTGTGGTGTTGTTGCTTCACTTGAATTTGCTTTTATTACATTATTGTTTTACGTGTAATCAGTAAAGGTGGTACAGGAAGCAAAAAACAATATACCTTCCTTGTCTATATGTGGTCTCTCAGTTTCCAGTAGGACTAGTTAGGCATCATCACTATCAATTATGAGGTGATAATGATGTGCTTAGTGAGGCATTGTATCTAGGATACCCCAAACTGTCAGTCATATGGATGCCTATTGTTGTTTTTCAAAACTGATTTTTAAACCTCACAATATTCTTAACAGCCTATTATTGTTAAACTTTTTTAAACAGTTAAACCATGATTGCTTTAAAACAGCTTTAATAGTTTTATTGCAATTGCTTTCTCTTTTATAACTTATTTTTAACCTGGCTTGAAGGTAGAAAAACAGCATACCTAGGATTGATGTTATTACTTAAGAGTCACATAGTCTCAAAGGTGTGCAGAAAATATAGGATAAGAAGGAAATTGGTAATGGATATCTGTCTGTCTATATGGTTTGTCTTGAACTCAAGTCCAAATGCAGTGTATTTTTAAATGTATTTTTTCCTTCAGTTGTATAAAATATTTTATGTAAAAAAGATTGAAAATTTAATTTATGAAATAAAAATTACCCATAGTCCTAACAGCTAAAAAAGATAGCCAGTTGCAGGAATTCCCTTTGAATATCAGAATGAGCAGCATCTCAGAGACCAAAAAGTAATTCTTGAAATTTTATCTTTATGGAAGTGCTAATCCACTATATCACAAGGATGCTCAATAACATTGTGTAGCATGTAGAGGATGCTTTGAATCTATTGTTCTTAACTGTTTAGATCTCTCAGGCAGCCAAAAGTACTGTTTGAAAGTTAAAGAGAATATAGAATCATTGGCAAATGATGATCCAGGTTTTTTTGGTGTTCCTAGGCAGCTTGTTGGGGACATGGGAGTTGCAAAGATCCCAGTGCAGTAAGCTCACAGGCCAAGGGTAAGAGTTCTCGTTGAGTCCTGGGAGAAGGACAGCTGCATCTCTTGGGCTGTTGCAGAGTAACATTCTTACTAATAATGTGCTTTACTTGACTGGTATTTATAAAATGCTTCTGTGTGCCAGCCTCTGACCTGGGTGCTGGGGATTGAATAGAAAACAAGCCAGACATAGTCCTTGTCCCTGTGGAACTTTTCTGTCCAATGGAAAAAATACTGACTAAATAATGATAAACCTGGGATTGTTATAAGAGAGATGTGCAGGATGGGAGAGTGGAGAGTGGCAGAGAGGAACATGTAAACAGGAGGACTCAGCTTAGTCTAATGAGCCCAGAAAATCCAACCAGAGGAGGTGGATAAAATACCTCACCAATGGGTCGATATGAGTAAGTCAGGGAGGATGGGAGGAAGAAGACCTGAGGCAGAGAAAGCTGGGCCAAATCCCTAATACCGAAAACCATGACATTTTCAGGAAGCTGAAAAAAGTTCAAGAAGAGAGTGGCTCGAAAATAAGCTGAAGAGGCAAATGCTTCATTGAAGAATCAACATTTGTTGGAGACTAGCGCATCCCTTCCCTGGGGTTATCTAGCATGCTGGCCTCTGACTGACTTTGATCACTTGGAAAATTCCAAATCTTGCCATAATTACTGTTGAATATCAGATCTTTGGTCAGAATTTTCCGCTCTGAAACATACTGGAGAAACTTCTCCATTCCTGCCTTGGCCAGCATATCTCACTTCATTCACTTTCTAGCCTGAAGCAGTATGAAGTGAGAGGCTCCTTTTTGAGTTTGACTAGGTGCAGCCAGCTGAGAAGAGTTCCTGCCTGTGACCCCAAGACCGACTGCAAGACTGCCAGAGAAACATTCGCAGTTGGGCTGGTGGCACACCAGGCCTTAATTATAGCACATAACATTTTGTGAATGACAAAATGAAATTATAGAACATAGAATATTAATGGGGAGAATGCCTAGTTACACTAATTATTAATAGCTTCTATAAAATGTTTTAGGTTAATCTGAATTTTTGTTATGTATCATTTTATCCATTGGAAATTACTGAATTTTAATAGCTCTGCTATCTCAGACTCTTAAAAATATCTAAAATTTGGAATTGCATCAGAATATCAGTTTGTGAAATACCAAAGCAACAGCAGTTCTGTAGCTTACATTGAGATTTTGAAAAAAATATTTGAAATATTTAGGAATCTATCTTTAATTGTATAACTTATTATGTAAAATAATATAACACTTTTCAGACCATGCAAATTGAAGTGCCTCTTTCAAAATCTGGGATGTTTCTGGGTTAAAAGCAAACGGTTTGGATTCCTAAAGAAGTAGAACATAAACATACTACTTTATCCTCATTGTATTAAATACTACCTATATAGCACTGCCAACAAAGAGTAGTTGAAGACTTAACTGAAGACTTAACAGCATAGCTGTAATATTTTAAATGTGGAACCTGATTTCTTTTCCAATTCTTCACCACTAAAAGGAAGTAGCTAATAAACCCATTTTTAGAATAATTTTAAAATTTAATTTCAGTGAATATCTGAATAAGAGAAAGATGAAATAACACTGTGGCAAAACTAGAAACATTGAGGAATAATGTGGTGCTGTTTTGGAACCTGAGGTACAAACTACCCACAAAGTCTAAATGCAGTAGACTTTGAACATTGAGTTAGATTTGTTCCTTGTCAATTCTTAACTGTATAACTTTCAGCATACAAACCATTCTCCCAGAGCCTCAGCATACTATAAAATGTGACTAATTCTATTCACATCATAGGGCTGCTGTGCAAATTAAGAGATAAGAGACAAAGTGGCTGCCTGACCC